GATTTGGTTGCATGTAAACGTAGCCTGTTGCAATGAGCCTTTTGTGAAGCCCACTTATTGGCTGTGCCGGTTAACACAGAGAAAGTCTCGCGACCCCCTATAGAACGAACAACGACCCACTGGTTGAGAAACACTGATCTAACTGACACTTTTGACCATGCGTCAACATGCCGACGCACATGGTACCCTTTAAGCGTCAATATGAGACGCTCATCCTCGGGCGTCATCTAACTGACGCTTTTGACCATGCGTCTAAATCCGACGCACATGGCACCCTTTAGCGTCAGTTAGATGACGCTTCCGTTATGGGTAGGTTTAGGTCTGGGGTAGGGTTAGGGTTAGACCACTAGGAGGCGCGTCTCATATTGACGCTTAAGGGGTACCATGTGCGTCGGCATGTTGACGCATGGTCAAAAGCGTCAGTTAGATGACGCCTTGGGATGAGAACGGGCTGTAGCAACAGGCTAACTTTTCCTGTTTTACTATTTTAATTTCTACATTAAAATTATAAAAAGTTCCACATTTGGATAATAACGTTATGACAGTCGTGTTAATGTTGGTTAGAACTGAAGTGTCTCCAACTGTTGTTTGGAAAACAAACAGGAAATGTTCATGGGTTAGTAGTGACATCAGAATTGTATTAGTAGCCTAAGTCATTACTCTGAAAAACACTGGTATTTGGTGTTTCAAGAATCCTCCCCTTCAGTGCTAATACCGACTGTGTTACTAATAATATTTTTTTAAATATTTTTTTTGCAGGTGGATCTGTCTTCAGAAACCCCATATATACAAGACACCCACTGCACTTGTAAAGCAGGATTGGGGCACTGCAACCACTTACTGGGACTACTGTACACACTGGCTCACTACCTAAAAATGGGGCACAAATCTGTACCGCCCAGAACAAGTAAAACCTCTTTGCCTCAAACATGGCATCAAGAACATTAGGACTGAAGCCAAAGTCAATCAGCAGAGTATCAGTTTCCAAAGTAAAACCACCAAATGTAAATCCCCAAAGAGTTAACCGGACGAGTGCTGTGGTGCATTTGAAGATAAATTGAGGGAAACCCCTAAAAATATTAGGAAGCAGAGGCCACATGTTGAAATTATTAACAGCTGGAAAGCAACAGAAAGAACTGGTCTCCACAGTGTTTGATGAGCTACCTTTAGGGTCTGTTTTAACCTACCAGTTACCCCAGCAGACAGTGACTACGTTTACAAGCAGCCAATAACCCGTTCAAAACCGGAATATTAGCAATAACCCGGTCGCGCACGGCCATGTAAACACCGGCAAAAACACGAATATGCTCATATTCCGGTTTTTAAAAACACGAATATGATCCCTGAGTTACCCCTTTTCTAACCCAAATATTTGGTCATGTAATAACGTATAGGCATATCCCCATCAAAAGGAACATTGATTTTTGTTCTGCGCATGTTCTATTCGCAAGGAATCTTGGTCTTTTGAGTAGAGGAACTTCTTGTATGCGCCGTCTGGTTGTCCGTACGTCCAGACACCAACCGTGCGTCGCCGTTTACATCGGGATATTGCCAATTGATTACAAATTCCATGTATACAGGAGTAACTCTCTCTGCTTACGCATTTAAACGGGTTATTCCGAATGTTTCAGAAACCTGAATAGTGACCTTAACCCGACCATAACCCGAATATTGACAGCTTGTAAACATAGTCTGTGTCCTTTGAAGAGCACCCTACACTGCCTCTATAACCTCTCTCCTACACAACTGTTTTAAACCAGAGAGACCTCCATGATTTCTATGGAGGTTTGATAATTACACCAGAGGAATAGAACCAGGGACCAAAGCAGCACCACTTAACATCGACTACGTGCAGAGAGGATTACATCAACATCTTTTAAGCAAGTCTGTTCTAGAGTTAAAGACTTTGAAAAGTTAGCTGCTAACATGACTGCTAAACAAACAGTTCAAACTAAAGCAATGAAAAGAGGCATACAACTTGAACCTGTTGCTGCTGCAGATTATGAAAAGCTCACTGGAAACAAAGTGTTCCCTTGTGGCTTAATTAATCATCATGCCCCACATCTAGGAGCCTCTCCTGACAGGAAAGTAGTTGACCTGGCAGCGGATCCAGTCCACTGACTTCTTGAGATAAAATGTCCAAACAAAGACAATTTCAAAGACTGCTCATGTTTGAGAAGTGCAGGAGGGAACTACACTCACCGGCCACTTTATTAGGTACCCCATGCTAGTAACGGGTTGGACCCCCTTTTGCCTTCAGAACTGCCTCAATTCTTCGTGGCATAGATTCAACAAGGTGCTGGAAGCATTCCTCAGGGAGTTTGGTCCATATTGACATGATGGCATCACACAGTTGCCGCAGATTTGTCGGCTGCACATCCATGATGCGAATCTCCCGTTCCACCACATCCCAAAGATGCTCTATTGGGTTGAGATCTGGTGACTGTGGAGGCCATTTTAGTACAGTGAACTCATTGTCATGTTCAAGAAACCAATTTGAAATGATTAGAGCTTTGTGACATGGTGGAAGTAGCCATCAGAGGATGGGTACATGGTGGCCATAAAGGGATGGACATGGTCAGAAACAATGCTCAGGTAGGCCGTGGCATTTAAACGATGCCCAATTGGCACTAAGGGGCCTAAAGTGTGCCAGGAAAACATCCCCCACACCATTACCCCACCACCACCAGCCTGCACAGTGGTAACAAGGCATGATGGTTCCATGTTCTCATTCTGTTTACGCCAAATTCTGACTCTAACATCTGAATGTCTCAACAGAAATCGAGACTCATCAGACCAGGCAACATTTTTCCAGTCTTCAACTGTTCAATTTTGGTGAGCTCTTGCAAATTGTAGCCTCTTTTTCCTATTTGTAGTGGAGATGAGTGGTACCCGGTGGAGTCTTCTGCTGTTGTAGCCCATCAGCCTCAAGGTTGTGCGTGTTGTGGCTTCACAAATGCTTTGCTGCAGACCTCGGTTGTAACGAGTGGTTATTTCAGTCACTGTTGCCCTTCTATCAGCTCGAACCAGTCTGGCCATTCTCCTCTGACCTCTGGCATCAACAAGGCATTTCCGTCCACAGAACTGCCGCTCACTGGAAGTTTTTTCTTTTTCGGACCATTCTCTGTAAACCCTAGAGATGGTTGTGCGTGAAAATCCCAGTAGATTAGCAGTTTCTGAAATACTCAGACCAGCCCTTCTGGCACCAACAATCATGCCACGTTCAAAGTCACTCAAATCAACTTTCTTCCCCATACTGATGCTCGGTTTGAACTGCAGGAGATTGTCTTGACCATGTCTACATGCCTAAATGCACTGAGTTGCCGCCATGTGATTGGCTGCTTAGAAATTAAGTGTTAACGAGCAGTTGGACAGGTGTATCTAATAAAGTGGCCGGTGAGTGTACACTTTTAAAAAGACCCACGAGTACTACAAGTTTTTGGACAAATGGGGATTAGTGGGTTTACATGGTGTGATTTTTTTGTAAAATGTAAAAATGATAACCACATTGAACACATCTATTTCAACAGAGATGAATGGGAGGAGATGAAGGGTAAACTTGATTTTTTCTTTTTCAGCTGTTTCTTACCTGATTTGTGCAACAAGAGAGTGTAAACAGAATCAAAACCAAAACAAATCAAACAGTCAAGTAGAATGCAGAAATGTTCTTTATTGTTTTTAAATATAAATTGTATTGTTGTATTCTTTGTTAAATACTCAACATGAGGGTGAGTAAATAAGGCCGAGGGGACAGAGCCTTTTCAGTGGTAGGACCACGGCTCTGGAATAGCCTACCACTTTCTGTTAGATCTGACATTACCAATGAGATAATTAGTAAATTTTGGCGAACATGCAAATATCTGAGAGAGCAAGACAAAAGGGACTGCAGTATGCATTCGAGGGATATACCCACGACATAATATGCAACCGATTAGAGAATAATTTCATAAAAATTGAAGCTAAAGCCTATAGTCCCAGCGCAAGGCCTCATACGCTGACCATTCAAATGGGAAACACAAATTGAGGAACAGTTCGTGCACAGCAGGGTAAGTGATGTGAAAATAATCTAATAATTATAAATCAAACAGGAAATAAATATTGTGGAATAACACCGGGAGAGCCGCGGTCGGATTGGGTTAAAGTTAACCTTACTCAGTCAGGGGTAGTAGGCCGTCGATTAACAAAATGCTGAAATATATTTTAAAGTATGTCAGTGAGTCTCCATCTTGTCTTTAATCGTCTTATTTTACTTTAAAATATATGCATTATGAACAAAGAACCGTCATTATTTCCAACTTCCAAGCAATAGGTGTTTTTGTTAATCCTGTGGACATGTAGTTGTGAATGGGGTCTCACACACTGCTTGATCCACGCCCGGTATTTCTCCCCTCGGCTTTTAGATTTTCGGGAAGGAAAAAAATTCCACTCCCCCGTCCAAACTTTTAGGATACCGGGTATCAGATTTGGACAATCCATACGCACAACACTTCGGCATGTTTCCCTCGCTCGAAAGCTTGCCAGACCTCCTAGTTACGGTTGCTAAGACACGATTGGCCAGTGGCGGTTTTCGGGTGTGGCTTAGCGAAGGGTCAATTGTCTAGTAAAAAAAGAATTCACTTGAATCCATGTGCTCTATATGTCTGTGTGACCTTTAAATGTTCACTCAAAACAATGGACCATGAAAATTTGTGAGTATAGCACACACAATGACAGAGGAATCACCCGATCAAAAATGTAAAATTCCTTAAATCGTCGAATGGCCCGTTCAATGTGGATTCTCAAACGAGCTATGTTTTGTGTGCATGCAAGTTAGTTGAACTGCCCACTTGGGCCAAGGAAGGGTGGGATAACTAGTGTGGCATGAAACCCTTTGTCCACCATCACTGCATCGCCTTCTTGAAGAAGATCTAGAATGCCAGATGACTTTGTTATCTCTTTATCAGAAATGCATCCTGCTAAAGACTGCTTACAAAAGTTTAAATTCCAACCAGAGACTTGAGTGTTGTTGTGCCTTTGTAGTGTGAATACGTTTCGGAGTTAAGTACCTTTGAGCTGGCTGTTTGGACTCCAATTTCAGTACAGTCTAAGATGACTCTGGCTTTGGGGTAGAGAGTCTTAAAATGATCTGGCATTAGATCAACTGCAGCTCTACTTGGCCATATTGGCAGGCTCCCCAACATGAAATACAAATAATTTGCCCACGTAACACAGGTTCGACTAACTGTAACATTGAAACGCACAGCAAGATCTTGTTCAAGAAGGCCCTGTCTAATGCGGCAAAGAAACAAGAAAAACTGATTAAACAGTCAGAGATGTTGTGCTTGGAATCCAAGCCTCAGTGTATGTTGGTTGGTTGCTCTAATTCTTTGCACTTGAGCCCATGAGGCCATGCTCTCTGCTGTGGGCTGTAGAGCCAAGAAAACAGCTTCCAAAGTGTCATAGTCCAGCCCGTTCTCATCCTTTGGCGTCATACATGTGACGCTTTGTACATTTCGTTGAAATCTTACGCACATGGCATCCTTTAGCATCAATATGAGACGCAGAACCCAAGGCGTCATACAGGTGACGCTCGTCTAAAACCGACGCACATGGCATCGTTTAGCGTGAATATGAGACGCAGATCCCAAGGCGTCATAACCGTAACCCTACCCCAGACCTAAACCTACCCATAACAGTGCGTGTTATATTGACGCTAATGGATGCCATGTGCGTAAGATTTCGACGAAATGTCATATGGCGTCACCTATATGACGCCAAAGGATGAGAATGCGTTGCATAATCAGGGAATTCTGCTCCTCAGAAGTCATGGGCTCCACAGAGTAGAGGTGATCGGGGTGAGGCATCTCTGTAGCATGACTGTAGATTGTTTTAATGCAGTTTTTTTGAGAGAGAGGGAGAGAAAGATGAAAGTTAAATCTAATCATCTAGACTATATATATATGTCCAGTTTATTGTTCACTTGATGCATTTATCTACACTTTAATTTTCTAGGATAAATTTGTGCTCAGCATTCTTCATTGCTTGGTCCATCATTAGTAGAACTGCAGAGAATAGAAGAGAACATTAAGACCCATACATATAATGGCCTGGTTTCACAGACAGGGTTTAGATTAAGCCAGGATTAGGCCTTAGTTTAATTAGGACATTTAAGTATCTTTTATAAACGTGCCTTAGAAAAAAACATTACTGCTGTGCATATTCAGACAAAACAATGGTACTGACATATTTTAAGAGATACTTTCATTTAAAACAGTTCAAACATGCATTTTAGTCTGAGACTAAGGTTTAAGCCGAAAAACAATATTATATACACGACTTAATTGTTTTTCTTTATTTGAAATATACTGCTTACATATCATCACGTTTACTGACACAAAACTGATCAAAAGAAATGCATTTACATGTTCATTCAAAACCACTTAGTTTAAACAGTATTCACTAATTTTCCCCATTTCTGCTCACCTTTCATCTTCCTCACATTCTTCCTCTAAATTACACTTTCCTTGTCTAGACCCGAACAGAAACAAAAGCAGGATTAATTCATAACAAAATAATAACATCTTGTACGTGATTATGAGATTTCAAAAAGGGTTTTACTTCTGACAATGCGTACACAATAAGCTATCACATTGATTATAAATTATGAGCAATACGACCTTAACCCTCCTTAACTGTAAGGCCACAACTTAAACTGTTGTAAATCTTGGATTACAGATCTTAACTTCGTCCCATGTTTATGGTCTTGGTAAAATGCCTATCTTAATTCAATAAAAGGTATGAGCGTTGAACAGCATTAACGAATGTAGCTAAATACTCTTGTCACAAATTATTAAACAATTTTTGCTATATCTTTTGTAAAACATATCTCACGTTGAAGCAACTAGCAATGTATTATTGTTTAAAGGAAGGTAAAACTTGCTTAAAACATAAAAATTAGCGATTAGCCAACAGGCTAATATGCAGAACTGATATTATATAAACAATGAAGCACTTTTACCTGAAAATTAGGTCCAATGTCGCGTTTAATTTTAACAATCCATGTTTTCCGAAGATCTTTTTCCTGTGGAAATCTGTGAAAGGATGTATTTTCTTTATTTTGACGGCTGAATGACCGGCATCCCGGTACACAACAGTACGCCATATAAACGCTCTATCCCTCACAGTCTCGTTCTGGAATCAAAATGGCGGCTGGGTGAATAAGGCGTATGAGCCAATGCAAAAAAAAATGCAGATCTTTGAAATGTATCTCAGGGAAATATGATACTTAAACATCTCTGAGAGAATGGACATGTAGATATCAGCTAACAATTTTGCGTTCTGGGAACATTCTGGGAACTTATTGGTGATCCAGGAAAGTTTTCTTAACGTAAATAGAACGTTCCCTTAAGGTTAGGGGAACGTTCTGGAAACTTCTGGAAACCCCTTTAGGTTATAAAAATAGAACCTACAAATAACCTACAGGGAACATTCCCAAAACGTTCTCCTTAGGTTATAAAATTAAACCTAAAAATAACCTACAGGGAATGTTCCTAGAACGTTCTTGTTTGGTTCCCAAAAAATAACCAAATAACCATACGGGAACGTTAGGGGAACGTTCTGTGTTTGCTGGGTAAAGACATCTGAAAAAAATTTGATTATGAAATGATTAATTTATAGTGCTGCTGACCTCAAAAGCTTCCACACACATCCACCAGAACTACCACGACTGCAGTAAAGAAAAATGATAAATTATATCTCTTTATATTTATATAAACTCCCAATATAAGCTCATTGGAAAAATATGCCTCTACCTACATTTCTGCACAACTCCAAGCGTAATTATACACACAATTCAAACTCACGGGACATTTCTTTACTGAACTTCTGCCACACAACAACCAACCTAATAAAACTTTCCACATTCACGTTCATGTTTCTGGGTAACTGAACACGCTTTCAGTGCTATTTTAGTATCATTGAAAAACTATTATAGCTTTTATTCATATTTTGAATTAGTTTTTGAATTTCATTTTTTTCCATTTTAAATGTAGTAAAAGTTTTAGTTATTTAGTAAATTGTTTTGGTATTTTTACTAGTTTAAAAAAAATACTATACTATATTGTATTTTTTTTTTTTTTTTTATAAATACTATAATGGCAACATAGTTAATATAATAAATTTTATTAAAATAAATTTAGGTTTTGTATATTTTATTTTATTTCAAGTAATGAAAATGTTTTTTTATGGTTTTAGTTTCAGTTTTAGTTAACTATAACTCACTAAACACCAAACACCCACCAAAATGCAAGAAATTGAGCGTCAGCGTCAGTTCTGGCAGGCCAAGTAGTCAAGATGCTGCTAACGCTATCGGCCGACAACACGGTCTCATCAGCGCTTCTGCTGTTCATCTCCCCTCGCTGCTAATGACTACGCTCAAATCAGGGTGCCCTATAAAGGGATACTCCACCCAAAAAGGAAAATTCTGTCATCATTTACTCACCCTCAAGTTGTTGCAAACCTGTATGAGTTTCTTTCTTCTGCTGAAAACAAAGCAAGATATTTTGAAGAACGATTGGAACCAAATCTGTTGTTTGGCACCATTGACTTCCATAGTAGAAAAAAAAATACTATGGAAGTCAATGGTGCCAAAGTTCCAATCGTTCTTCAAAATATCTTCCTTTGTGTTCAGCAGAAGAAAGAAACTCATACAGGTTTGCAACAACTTGAGGGTGAGTAAATGATGACAGATTTTTCATTTTTGGGTGGAGTCCCAGATAGCATGGTGACATTGATACAATGTTGAGTTTTGATCTAAACCATCATTTTGGTTGAGATTGACATTTCAATGTTTAAAGTGTGCTGGATCAGCATTGACATTTTGATGAAAGCCAACAACACACATAAGTGGAGAAAGTGACATTGAACTAACAGTGATTTGTAGTTGATGAGCACAAGATCATTCAGGCGTATCTCTGCAAAACACTAGTGGGTGTTTCTCGATCAGTGGGGCGTTTTCAAACCACAATGGGCATTTTCAACCGCTTTACCCGATTTGCTGTAATCCACTGTGGGCTTGGTTTAGGGGTGGGCCTTCATGATTTTAGCAAGTCTGTTGAAAAATGGTTGAGAAACATTTACCTGTATTGTAGTTTGAAATTGGCCACTGATTGGTAAACGCCCATTTTGTCTTTGCATGTGCACTTTTCAGTAGTCTAATGCTTCCTCATTAGAGAGAAAACAGGTGCATCCTATACAGAAGTCTTGTTTGTTGAATCACCTGACATACTTACACGACTAGCAGAGTTTCAAACAATGGTGCATCTACCTTATTTCTCTGTTCCTTTGTTTTGCATGCTTATTTGCGTTTGATTTGTGTTGTTACTCACTGTAATTAGATTACAAAGTTATTAAAATGTTTGAATAAAGCATCTATTTTTCTACATTCTTAAAAAATGCATCTTGCTTTAGTAAAGTTTATTAGGAATTTCCTGAATAAAGTTATGTCATTTAACAGATTTCTTAAGGTGCAAGAGACATGAACATGAGCAAGAATGTTAACATAGCCCATGTCTTGTCTCGGTCAGTGCTTGCATGCAGAACACATTGCTCCTTTAGTAGGAGTGAAGGCAGATGAAGATGGACAATTAAAAAAGCACCCTCCTGATAATGCTGACATTGATCATACATTGAGTTGTTGTCGACAGCATAATCACCTGACCTGGGACTTGATGATATCCTGTATCTTATCACTGCTTAATCAGGTAATCATTCATATTCCTGAATCTGTATTCAATTTGAGAAATAACTGATTTCCATTCAGTTTAGCTTGTTTCCACTGAAACACACACACAAAAAAAAAAGATCTAGTGTTTATTAAGAAACTGACTGACATGGCTATTTTGTGATATTTAAAGAGATTAGGGTCTACATAAGGTGAATATGCAGCTTTAAAGGGATAGTTCAGCCTGAAATTAAAATTATGTCATCATTTATTTACCCTCAAGTTGTTCCAAACCTGTATGAATGTCTTTC